CTTTAAGCATTTTTTTTTATTCCAGAATTTTATTGTTGTTCTCTGTGGAAAGGTGTTTTTAGGGAATCTCAAAAGTATAGTTGAAAAAAATCAGTCCAAGTAGTGAGCGATTTGATTGAGTTGATTCGACCGATTCTACTCCCTGTTCGATTCTTTCTACTTTTCCCACATCTTTGCACACCGCTCTTGATCCACGCCTGTTCGGAGCGCATTCATCAAGATCATTGCTTGTAAGCGGTGAATCGAGGACTGGTTTTGTCCATCTCTAGTTGAAACCGGTTTTTTTTAATGGTTTTAAGCTATAGGACCAAAAAATGTTCGAATTTCTAGAGCTCCTTTGACCGCAAAAGCTATAGAATTCTCTAATATGCTAGGAGACAATTTTGTGCCAACTGATGGATAACTAATAAGATGGAAGTAGAGAAATAACATAGTTTATCGGAAACTAACGATGAGAAGCAGAGAAATGGGTAAAAGATGTTTTATCTGAGCTTCTAAAAGAATACAAGCCACGCTAAATTTTTAAAACAGATTAAACTAGTTTTTTTACAGAGCATTACCACAGCACATATTATTTTTTAAATGTGAAACAGCTATTGGTTTTAAGAAAGTAACAGAACGTGTTACTGTTTTATTAACGTGCAATATGGATGCAACAATTAAAAAGACGCCAGTGGTTATTGGGAAGTCAAAGAATTTAACTTACCGCAATAACAAAATCTCGTAGATGACAAGCTGTATTTTTTACCGATTTCCTTTCGAAATGGGATAGAAAACTGAAAAACGAAAAAATAGATTTACTAGTAGACAACTGTGCTGCACACCTCTCTGATATCGTTCTGAAAAACATTAAGTTAGTGTTTCCTCCTGCAAACACGACTTCTATCATTCAGCCACTAGACCAAAGTATTATAAAAGCTTTCAATTGTAATTACAGAAAAGGTGTCGCTCCCCCCCCCAAAAAAAATAAACAAATTTGAATCAAGCTGTGCATATTGTAGTCCATGCATGGGAAGCGGTTTCCCAAGTTAGAAATGTTTTTAGAAAATGTGATTTTTATTCAGAAAAAGCCACAGAGGTATTGCAAACTGTTTCGAATAATTCGGACGTCAATGAAGGTAATTACGAAGAGCTGTTTTTGGATCCTTTGCAATTGATGCTAATATTGAGACAACATGCGAAAACACTGACTGCAATATAATAAAAGTGTTAAAAAAGCTGACAGTGAAAGTGGTACGGAAGAAGATGATTACATGCTAACCCCAGCTGGAGACTCGTAAGAAGTACTCTTAAATTGAAAGGTGGAAATCAGAAAAGCTAGTGACAATTTTTTCGACTTGAAAATAGAATTAGGAAGACTGTTGATGAACAAATGCTAAACAAATACGGGTGAGGCAGTTTAAAATTTTATTAGATATGCAATTATAAAAGTTTTTTTTTATAAAAAAAATATAATAATAAATAAATTTTCGAATTTCGCGAATAGTTTAATTTTTAATTAATAATTTAGGCATAAATTATTAGATTAATTGTTAGTTACTATATCTTACTAAATAAATTCAAAGTTGATACCGAAATTTGCAATATTGAAATAGCTGTTTATTTAACTCAGCTGCTTAATAAACTCAAACATTCTTGGAACGGAAATGATTTTAATAAGCGGTATATATTATATAGACTCAGGCCGGTATTAGTGTTTTTACTTCCCGTGGTGCAGTATCCGGGGCTCATAAATTCAGGCGCTGTGTGCCTCACTAAATTCTACTGTCCGTACGGCTGGTCCCGGTTGCACAGACTCTAGCGTGCAACCTCTAGCACAGACCCTTTAAATAGATTAAATCTTAATTTCTACATATTTATACTTTCTTCTCAGCAATGATAACACAGCGGTTCTTTTTAATATTTTGAAATTTGTTTTAAAGGATGGAATTTCAAAATGCCAAGACAATTATACATCTGATGCGATTAAATAAAAATCGTTTATATGGCTATCATAGTATGTTTCATAGTTAATTTGTATGCTCTGCGCGTGTGCTATTTATTGGCATTTTTATTGCAGTTTCCAGAAAATAGCTAACACATACTTATCTTACGCAATATATTTGTAGAATTTTACTGAAACTAAATTTATAAAATCTCCGTTACAATTCTGTGAAAACATTTATCAAATATTTTTTTTTTTAATGTGAGATCGATCTGAAGGGAATATTAAGGCGCTCTGGTATATTTAAAAAGGAGAAATATATTAAGATAATTAGAGTGATTATTGATCATTCGTTACTATGCTTAGCCGCAAAACTCCGCAAAAGAAAGGGAAATTTCTACGGTTAGATGGCTTCCTTTACTTTATCAATATCCTTTGTAAATTAACAATAATATTTAATGTGTTACTTGATAAATCCGTTTCGAAACAGCTAATATCACCTTTCGATTCAAAACCCCTTGATAAATAACCTTTGGCATGAAAGCGTCATTTGATGCTCTTTCACATTTCCTCTAGTAACTTGTTTCCGTTTAAGTTTCAAAATAATTCATGAAATAAGCTTAATTATTATTACATCATTGCAATAAAAAGTTTAATAAATTAATTCTCTTTTAAAATTACACGCTATTGTTTTTATATTAAGTTGTTTTTCAGTTATTCGAGAATAAAAAGTAATGCTGTTTAAGGACATGTATTTGTTGTATTTCTTTCATAATAATTATTATTTGCAAATATGAATATGTACTTACCCAGTATTTGAACAGAGTTATTTTAACGTAGTAAAAGTTTATAATACACTGGAAAAAAGTACCAGTACCAAGGAAGTTGTGCTAGATAACCGAAATACTGCTGGTGTGTTTGTTCATCTGAAAGATGATGTCTAGTCAGATTTCGCACTAGACGAATAAGTGTGGCTCTAGTAGCACCTCTGTGAACATAACAGTCCCGTTTGCTTTAAATACGCGATGTAAACTGCATGTACTTATTTATCTCTTGAATTGGACGTTGTGAGCAAGACTTGAGTCAAAAACCCTTTAAAGAGACGAAGAAGGCAATATCAGCAGCTTACTGAGTTTGAGCGAGTAGTAACAGGGTTACGAGAAGGTGGATTTTCCTCTCGCGATGTTGCAAAAAGACTTGACAGGTAAGTACCCACTGTACATTCCTACAGGCAACAGTAGTCTGGGGAAGGTGCTGTCTTCCCGCACTCAAAGTCGCATGTCTGGCGCATCGCACTGCGTCCAGTAATATAGATGGGGTCGGGTAAACTATTTGAGGTTTGCTTGTACTGCATCCATTAAAGGTCACCCATATAGTTACTCCCCATTTCAGGCAGGAGTCATTGGATTCGCAAGGCTCAACTCCAAATCACCGCCATCTGCGACTTCATTGTATTCAAGATAGAATTCGTTGGAGGGTGGTGTGGAGATCTGTTGTGTTCGCAGCAAATTTGCACATCAGATTGGTAATTGCACCTTTTATACTGCCATTTTTTAGCAATATTCTAGAGGACATTTTCCAACAGGATAACGCTCGTTCTCATACCGTTGCTATCACCCAGTGTGCTCTACAAAATACCAACATGTTGCCATAGCGTGCGAGATCACCCTACTTTTCTCTTATCGTTCTTCCATCCCAATCAGCCGATCTTTCTTCCATTGTAATGAAATCATTTTTGATGACAAAGTAGATGCTAATGATGAAAGTTGGATTATAAGAACATACAGACATAACAGCGGCTATCTGAATAGTTCTTTTATTCTTGATAAAATAATTCTGATCAGATATAGTAAAGAGGTGAGTAGTAAGCCGGGGCACTCGGTAGGCGGAAGTGACGTCACAGAAAAAGGGCGTGGTCGCCGTTATCTTGAATCACGTGACAACCGGAAATGACGTAGATGGAAGGAATGACGTAGACGGAATGACATCATCAAACTTTCGTTTTGATTCTGTGGCAACGATTTCATGTCTCAAAGTTTTTATTTTTTGTGGCAACGAACATATATTTTTAGGTTTTATGGCAACAGTATCTTGAACTACGTGTTTGGAATGACATCACTTTTAATTTATTATTTTTAATTATTTAACATGTGATTAATTATTTTTAACTATTTAGTATGTCATTAATTTTAATTATTTACTACGTTGTTATTTTAATTATTACCTTTAATTAAATTTTATTGAATTTTAAAAATAGCTCCACGAGCGGGATTCGAACCCGCAAACTTTAGTTTGGAAGGCGATTTCCCAAACCACTATGCCAGCGAGACCTTACAAGCAAGGTCACATTATCGCGTTGAGTAGAAAAACAACCATGACGTCAGGAGGCTGGGGGAAACAGGCAAACGTCATTTCTTTCACGTTGCAGCATGCCGAAACCGCTTCACGCTTTCTACATCCGCCGTGGCAAATGTATACAATCTTAAACGACCAATCAGATTCTAGCTAACAATATCTATCTTATTTCAACCAATCAGCGTTTCTCTTTCATTGTATATCGCCTATATATTCGCTCGCGTTGACGAATGCAATCACCCCACGTGACTAACACAGTCCAATCTGTGTTTTACAGCAAGGATGAATTTGAATATTTTGTTTAGCTAATCTGTTGCACTTAGTTGTGCCATTTGTCTTCATTTAGATCGCGATATTAGTTTAATTATTCCAATCTGGATAACCTGTTTCAAAACTTGATAATTATTAATATATCCAATATTTCTCATTGCACGCTTAAGCTGCTTTGCTCGGAGTCTGAACTTGGGTGGGTCACCACCCACGTGACAGGCTCCTGCCAATCATCTCCGTCCACTCCACCTACATTTCACAAAATTTGACAAGTTTCGCCTAGTTGGCGCGGCGTAAATCGCCTTAATAAAAACTTAAGTACCAACGCCTTAGGGCAATTTACCAACAGAGACGGTTAAAGTAGCGGTTGGCTACTAATTGCCGCCTAGCCATTGACTCGATTTCAATTTCGATTTCGAATGCAATCATTTCTACTGTGGTTGTTGCTGAGCGAACGTTCTCTTGCCTTTTTGTGATTTTCTTTTGCGCCATTTTCATTTTATCTATACGATGTCTGCTAAACGAGTTTTTTCTGCATCTAATGTAAGTATATTTTTTGCTTCTACTGTATTTTTAGATTACCATTTTTAAACACGAATTTTTTTGAATACGTTATTTATTCTAATTTTTTTTAATTGTTAGGTGTTATTTGAAGATTCTGATTGTCCTTTCCGTGATTCTGATGACGATGTAAGTTTTTACACGTATTTTCGTAGCGTACTTTTTTTTTTTTTTTTTCTGAATGTATTTTACCATTTGAGCTCATTTTATTTTGAATGAATCCACTTTTATTTTGATAGTTATTAGATGAAGTGGATCAAATTTTCATGGAAAATCCCCTGATTTTGCCCCTGTACTATCATGTGGGTTCCGGATTTGAGGTAAATTTTCGTTTTCGTTATAGATTCTCTTAGAATATTTTTATTCTTAGTACTAGAAAATGAATGTATTTATTTTTATTTATTATTTTTAGACTTCTTCCTCATCAGCTCATGGACCCTGTGTATATGGCTGCTTCGAATGAACGATTCGGTATATATTTTTCTTTTCTTGCATGATTTATTAAAATAATGTATTTTGAAAATTTTTGATTATTACTGAAACTTATTTATTTTTTTTTTCAGATTGATGAGGCGATTGTACTCACAGAGAAGTCTCATCTACGGAACCATAAATATCAGGCCGAGGAGATTACCTTCCGGGCCAGTATAGATATGGAACGGCTGCCTCAGAACGTGCAAGGCATCCCGATGGTCCGAATTCCTGACACCGTCCGGGAGTTGTTTGACCAACTTATTCGCCGGATAACAGCAAATCTGGGCCCATCAGACCTCATCCGATTCTGTATCCAAGCAGATGGGTTGGATAAGCCGATTAGCACGTCCCTGATGGCAGTTTCGACTTTAACAGTTGAAAAGATTTTGGCTGCCGTGATGAAAGTGTTGCAGTCTAAAGACAAAATTGAACTGGATACGGGATTTGCAGTTGATGTGATCACCATAAAACGCCCTGTGGGTGCCGGACGAAATAGGAAAGTAGTCAAAATCTCCATGGACAGACTGGATAAGAAATCTATTTTGTCTATTCCCTATGACGACGAAGGACTGTGTTGTGCCAAAGCAATTGTTTATGCGTTGGCCAATTTACATAAGGATACGACCGCCATCAATGCCATGAAAGATCGTCGCCGACCAGCCGTCGTGAAACGTGCAAAGGAACTTCATATGGCTGCGAATGTGCCTCTAGGCCCCTGCACGTTTGCGGAGATAGCCATATTTGAAGACCACCTAGACGTGCAGATTGCCGTCTTTTCTTCGGAAAACTTGAACCGGGTAAGTCAATATTTTTATCTCATGATAAATCTGTTTTTATTAGATTAACTTTATGCATGTATGCAGTTCGTTTCCACGTTAAAAAAATATAACTTGAAAATACTGAATACATAGTGAATTTCCTAGATTGTGTTACATTTTTTAGATCATTTTTATGTATGAAATTTATTTAGATGCTAAAAACATAACTTGAAAAATTTTAGATTAATTTTACATTTAAGATAAAATTTATATTTTATGCATGCATTTCTTTAGACGCTAAAAATATGTCTTACAAAAATGCATGGTGAATTTTTGAATTACTCTAAATTTTAGATTATTAGATTTATTAATAATCTAAAATAGAATTTAGATTTATAAATTTAGATTATTAGATTATATTTATGCATATTCACGCATAGAATGCATGAATGTATGCAGGCGATGTAAAAAAATACCTTAAAAAAAATACGTAGTGATTTTTTTTTAAATGCTAGATAATTTTATATTATCAGGTTCAATGTTTCTTCTAACCTTCTTCGGAAACATACAATGACCTGACTAGAACAGAGAGCTTACTAAAGCTATGTTCACTAATTGTAGTAAGTAGACAGGATACAGACGAAGGGTATACAAAACCCTTTATTTTTCTTTATATACAATGACTTCCGTACTTCGGAATACAATGACCCTCCACTCGGGGTCTAAAACGTAAAAGATATCAAAAAAAACTAAACTCTAATTTAACTTTAGAATAAGATTGGCCTTATAATAACAGGAAGCGTATGTAGCACAGAGACTGTGAACACTACAATACGTTTAATTTATCAAGAGGATTAAAACCTCTGGCCTGGAAGGCAAATAGCAACTGCGTAACTTCTAAGGTAAGCGGCCTGCTTCGAACTCACTGCTTCCTCTCTCTGCTTGGCAAAAAGGCCACACTTAAATACTTGGCGTTCGCCAGACAACTTTGCATAAAACTCCTTCACGCTTATAATTCTGGCCGGAAGTAGAAAATAAGAAGTGATAGTAAAGATTTAAAATAAAATAAACGTTAGTAAAACTTAAGATCCTTACATACTTCCCGCCAGAGTTAATTAGTTTGAAACTGAGGTCTAAAACGACCTTGTTGAAAACTTTTAGCTCTAGAATCTAACGCGAGGCCAATCCTTTTACAAACATAACTTCGCTAGAAACTAGAAAATTTAAAAGAAAGAAATTTGTTACAATAGCAGCTCCCAGGATACAACAAAATTTTTTTTTCATCTGTACTGCATCTAAACAGGAGCTTTATTCAATTCTGGTTCCTTCCAGAGATCTGGAAGGAAAACTAGTTTAATGAAATGTTACACAATGACATGGCAAATAACATATAGAATTATACTTCTCTTAACATTCTTATTTCATTCATGACTATTTTAATTATCTCTCCCCGTGCTCTCTGACATGTGTTGTAAAAGAACACCAAACACGAATGTGTTTCTGTCTACGTGTGCCACACACTTCCTCCTACAATCAAAACACTAACGTGTTAAAATTCAACATACGAGACCTCTTAACACACCCTAATTTCAACTCTAAACCCTGAGGTACTATTCTGAAAGTGGCTAACTCTAAAGTGTAGCGTCAGAGAGCCTAACTACATCATTCAACCTTTAACACATATTCGCCATGATTTAATCTTTACAGTCACACGAATAACAAATTTTTAACATTACTTTCACTTTTACCATATCACGGTATTTCTTAACATTTAAAATAACAGTTCACATGTATATAAGAACATATCAACATGCCGTTAATTTTACACATTTGAAAACATACATTAGTAGTACATTGTTAACTTCTATTCTTTTCAAAGCAAGTGCCAATTCTTTCTACATTGAAATAATACTACATTTCAAAAAGTCTTTCAGACTAAAACTTCTTTCTTGCTAGAATGTTTTAAATAAAATTTATACAATAACTTTTTACAATATTTAAGTCTTTACACAACGCTATTATACATCAACTTTAGTTTTACGCGCGAGTAATTGAAAAACATAATAAGAAAATCGGTCACAACTCATTTCTCGCCCTTTTGGCGATAAAGGTAGACCTCGCATGAGGTAAAACTTCTTGAAATCTGCCACTTGCAGTAAGAATGAAAGATTAACTTAAGTTTGCAAAGTAACATAAAATTTTACTTATCTTTGTAATATTCAGACATCCTTTTCTGGGCCCAGTCTTTAAAGGTATAGCAGATAGTAGCTTGGTTGATCCTCCTTCTTGTACGGGCTCGCCCTTCAGTGCTTTCCTCTGGAAGCTTCCGTTTTTCACCAGTACGGCCACCCTTGAACACCTTCCTTTGTCCTCTGCTTGTGGTCTTGGCCGTTTGAAGGCAGCTGGTCTTGGTGGAACCGGGAAACTTCTGTCGTGATCCTGCTTGGACCTCGTTGTTGGCCGTTCAAATTTTTCTTGTACTTTTTCCTCCGCCGCTGATGGCCCTTCCGCAGTTCGGCGACTTTTGCTGCGGAGAGTTCTGTCGGATGAGTCGAATCTTCCGTTTTAACAGCCGGGTTATAGTTGCCGTCCTTTCTCCTGGTCTCTTTCCACATACGTCGTCCTTCTCCCTTCTTCATTCTGGGGGTGTTCGTGAACTCTGTTTTCTGGACGGTGGAACGGCTTCTTTTTCTTTTACCTTCAATTTTTCCGCGGGGCAATTTTCTTTTCACTTGCTTCTGTCTCTCATTGGCTTGCCCTTGTACTTGTCGTTTTCCCACCTCTGGAACTTGTACCTGCGGTGTCTGCCGTACCGGATCCTGCAAAAGATCTGAAAAGATTTGCATTTTATTACGATCGAAGTAGGGTTTATTTGATCAATGTTTGCGGAACAGGTTTCACCATTTCTTGCCTTTAACACTACAACAGCGTGAGTTATTTTTTCTATAACATATGGTCCTTCAAAGCGTGGAAAAAATTTGGCAGTTTTATCTTCTGGTGCTGAAGAAAGTGAATGCTTAATTTTTAAACTTCATCCCCTACTTTATAAGTTACTCCCCGTCGTTTCAAGTCATAATATAACTTCTGTTTTCTTTGTGCTACTTCCGTATTCTTTTTTGCTTCTTTTATTAGTTTTTCTATATCACCCATTTTAAATTCTGGGGCTCTTTGTTGCACATAAAATAGTTTATCTAACGGTGTTATAATCTTTCTGCCTAGAAATAACTCAGCAGGAGTTTTGCCCGTTGTATCATGTTTTGCGGTCCTAAGGGCGAAAGCAAATTCATTGACATAGTTATCCCAGCTTTTATGAAAATTTTTAACATAACTACGGATAATTTTCACTATATTTCTGTTGACCCGTTCCGCTATATTTGATTGCGGCCGATACGGGACCATTTTTAAATGACGTATGCCCAGTTTTTGGCACATGTCTTCAAATATATTACTTACAAATTGAGGACCATTATCCGATATAACTTTTAGGGGCGCCCCGTATTTTAAAATATATTTATTTAAAATAGAATCGGTAACTAATTTCGCGGAGGCTCGTTTTAAGGGAACAATTTCGGTCCATTTACTAAAATGATCAACCATAACAAGGAGATAGCGACTTTTGTTTAACTGACTTTTTGGGAAAGGGCCCAATAAATCGATGCCAATTATTTCATTTGGAAATTCGGATTTAATACTATTTAGAAACCCGGCCGGGCGGAAATTAATATAATTAACGGCTTGACATGTTGGGCAGGACTGGACATACGCCCTTGTTAACTTTTGCAGTTCAGGAAAGTAGACTGCCTCGCGTACGCGTTGGAGTAGTTTTTCGAATACCAGCATGAGAAGCTAAAGGGCTGTCATGGAGCTCTTGCAGGATATTTAATCTAAGACTAGCTGGGATAACAGGTCGAAATTCGTTGTTGGAATTCGTAGTTTTTGTATAAAATAATAGACCATCTATTAGTTCGTAATGGGCCGCCCTATTTCTTATCGCCACAATATCTTGGTGGCTAAAATTTTCAGGATCCTTCAAATACTCATAAATACTTCCAAACTCAGGATCCTTACCCAGTTCGGTTATTACAGTTTCTCGGGAATTTATTGTACACGCTGTCAGCATTGCAACTTTTACGGTATTACCCTGTTCGTCTAATTTAATTCGTGATAGGGCATCTGCTACGATATTTTCCTTTCCGGGGGTATGCTTGATTACCAGATTAT